CCGGTAGACACACTAAAATTATTTCAATAGTTTTAAAGTTTTTATTTTGCTTTCTAAGTTTTTATTTTGCTTTCTATTGACTGACAATATTGTGTTTTTTGTTTTGTAGGAATCACTTATTCCCATCAGTCATCGAGGTACATGTCGATTGCCCCGTTGGCATCCTCGACTGCATCCCTATCTAGAGAGGGCGGGATTGCACAATTTGAGGCACTTTATGAGGCTTGATATTGACAACGATCTGCTGACGGCAATGGCAGAGTGATGGCGCCCTGAGCTGCATACCTTCCACTTTCCCGAGGGTGAAATGACGATCACCCTCAAAGATGTTGCCATCCTCACCGGGCTCCCGATCACCGGAGATGCCATCATCGACAGCTCGAGAAAACCAGAAGATGGTTGGGGGCTATTGATTCAGGAACGTCTGGGGTTCAACATGCCGACCACCACGCCCGTCGAAGGGGTTGGGCATCCACCACTGAATGCGGGGCAAGTATCGATCCCGTGGCTTGTTGACCACATCCAATTGGAGGTTAATATAGGCCCGGATACTCCTGAAGATCAGGTGGAGCGGTATGCACATGTATACCTAATTGCCTTGGTTGGTGGGTTTCTGTTCCCCGACAAGTCAAATAAGTGGATACAAGGCATGTGGTTCCCTATGCTCCTCGGTGACTGGGACGAGATCGGGAGAAAAAGTTGGGGGTCGGCCGTCTTGGCTGGAATCTACCGAGAGTTGTGCACTTGCTCGAGGTTGGGAGCGAAACAAGCTGGTGGTGCGATGTTCATACTTCAGCTCTGGGCATGGGAGCATCTTCCGTTTCTCGCACCTCAAGACATACACCTCTGCAAGCCGCACCCCGTTCTCAGATATGAACTGTGTCATCATGTTCGCGTCGTCATCATCATTTATGTCAACTTTTTCGTACATGACTCCGTCAGCACTCATGTTGGGATACCGGTAAGTAATTTGACGAACTCTCATTTGCCCGCCCGTACAAGTCCTTTCTGCACACCTGTCATGGAGTTCTTGCCACGAGAATCTCGACTCAATTGTAAGCATACTGGATTCGCCATCTTCATAGTCGATCCCAATGTTCGAGTTTGTCACCCGACCATTCCAATAAATAATAAGCCGAAACTTCTTAAATTTACCCATGTCTGCATTTTATAATAATTAAGTATAGTATATAATTAGTACATTATGGATACAAAAACAATATCATCCAAAGCGATAATAAAGTGCAACTAATTGATCTATTATGAGAAAACTATACAAATTCATCTAAATTCATAACTAGCTAACTAACATCTATCATATCATAATTAAACTAAATAATATCATAACATATTTTCCAATAACCGCAATTCACTAAATACAGACAGTATAATTACTAACACATCAACATGTAAAAAATACATACTTATAACATACTCAATCCCGATCTATCATGAGAAAACTAAACAAATTAATCTAAATTCAGTACTAACTAACTAACATATATCATATCATAATTAATCTAAATATATAATTCTAACATACCTAATTCTAGCACATAATCAAAATGTAAACAATACATAATTTAGAGCCAATCACCGCTTTGGACCAAGGCGGTGAACACATCATCGCCTTAGTCAACAGCGGTGATAGCTAGGTAGCTGTTACCTACTTCTCCACCTACCAGGGCTATGTAAAACGTGGGGACAATCACTGTTGTGGACAGCAGCGGTGATGCCTTCACTGTTGATGTCAAAAGCGGGGATACGTTCCCCGCCTTTGTCAAAAGCGGGGATAATATCTCCGCCTTAGACAAAAGCGGGGAACGTATCACCGCTTTTGTCCACAGCGATGATGCATTCCCCGCTTTCGTCCAAGGCGGTGATGCGTTCCCCGCTGCTTCACTGTTTTGGACAAAAGCGGTGATCAACATCACTGTCTTTGTCTAAGACAGTGATGTTGAAACTGCTGTATTTTGGGAATTACTTTTATAAGTACTATATTTAGAGAATTTTTTTTAATAACTCGCGTATTCTGGGATTTTTTCCAAATAAATGGGACAAAATCTCAAACTACCCGATTTAGACAAAAAAAAAACAAATCAAAACAATAGAGTTTGGAGCTGCTTGGGGCTTGTTCGCTCTGCTCTCCCGCCATTCACGTTTGTTTGTAATGCCAGCGAATTGTTCCAAACTTTGGTGTTTTAAATTTTTGGGTTAATTCCCTAGTTTGGCCCAAAATTTAGCGTGAGTGACCGTTATGGCCTCATTTTTCAAATAAGACATTTACGGCCTACTTTTAAAATTATTGGACACATTTGGCCCGGAACTTGCGTTGACCGTTAATACTAACGGTCAAACACTTATTTCGTTAGTAACTCAGCAAAAAACTGCTGATGTGTTATACATGGTGCCACATCATTAAATAATAATAATTTTAATTTTGTCCCCAATTAATAATAACAAATTAAAAAAATCCTAAAATCCCCAAAGATGGATCCGCTCCACTTCCTCCTCTTTGTTTCGGTCTAAATCCACTTCATTCTTTTCGAATTCAAAAAAATAACCATGGTTCTACATCTCCAGTCCCTCCGCTACATCATCCGGAGGCTGCGATATGCTCCACCGAGAACAAAATCGAAGCTCCAGAATCCAGGTGGAGTAAACGGTCGATCCTCCCCTGCCACCCCGACGACGGTTCCGACCCACAAAGTCATCATCCATGACCGGATCCAGCTTCTCCGCAGCGATCCCTCTCTCCCCTTCGTCGCTTCCTCCACCCGCCGCCGTCGACAACAAAGAGAAACTATTCTCATCAGCTGTCGTTGATTTACCGCCCCCTTGGGAACCCCAGTCGACACCCCCAGCCGGCGAGACTAAGAGCTCGAGTGAGAGAGCGCCAGCCTAATGTCGCCGGTAGACGCGCCTGCGCCCCTGAGCAAGGAGAGGAGAGCTGTAGGCATTCGTTCCACCCGCCCACCCAGGATTGAAAGAATCCACATCTAATTACCGGGGGAAAAAGGAATCCAGATCTGGTGGTGACGCACGTTCCCCTGACGAGCTTCCTTCTCGAGATTCCCTCTTATCCGCCATGGGCAGTATTGGTTCTTGCTTCGGTTGCTTCGTCGGTGGAGAGGAAGAATAGTGGTTAAGAGTCTCTTCGTACTAAGTCTGGCTGGTGGTTTAGAGCCCCGATTCTGCAATGGCGGCGGCGGATGCTTCAGACTTTGGAGTCTCTTCGTTTTTGGGGGGCGATGATTCAGCCTCCGGTTGCATACGCCAAAGGAAAGAAGAAGGGGACGAAGGCGGCGGGAGGAAGAGATGAGGGTCGGAGGTTTGGGAATTTTGGGTTTTTATTTTTTATTATTAATTGGGGGACAAATTAAAAAATTATTTTTATTTAATGACATGTCACCTTACATAAACCACATCAGCAATTTTTTGCTGAGTCACTAACGGAATAAGTATTTGACCGTTAATATTAACGGTCAATACAAGTTTTGGGCCAAATTTGTCCAATAATTTCAAAAGTAGGCCGTAAATGTCTTATTTGAAAAATGGAGCCAGAACTGTCACTTACGCTAAACTTCGGGCCAAACTAGGGTATTAACCCTAAATTTTTTTTGTATATTATATTGAGAATCATATTTTTAGGTCTGGTACTTGGAAATTTTTTCCAATAAAATGTGTAAGCCTGTCAGAATGAGTGTAACAATATCACATAGAGATCTGCATCAACCAATATGAGGCATAGATAACATAATCTACTTAACACACATATATTATATTCAATACAAGCACAGTTCACTACTGCATCAACACATTTGCAACCGCAGACCACATGGCCTGGCTAACCAGCTTGCTCCTACACCCATCCCAATTCCCAACTATCACATGCTTAATAAATCCAATTGTGTAAAAGTTTTTTTTTTCCCGCACAACTCCTGGTTGGTAGAGAGTGGTATAAGATCCGGCATAACCTTCTCTCAACAACTCGAATTATTGGGATCAACTGGTTCATGACATGGTATCAGAGCTTAGAACCGAAAGGTCATGTGTTCGAATCTCCACAACCCCCAATATTAACCGTATTCTTCGCAATTTTAAAGAACCTAATATCAAATAGCTAGATGGCCCACTGTTCTATGGAGCACAACAGTCAAATATTTTTTGTAAGCTAGAGCCCAACAGTCAAGAGGCCAAACCCATTTCAGCCTACTTCTATTGCTGAAATCTTTTGTACCGACCAACACTTTTTTTTTAATGAAACTTTTATTCCATAACCGAAACAAGGGAAGCAAACAAGTTACAATAGTGGTGCAGTTAAATCTGCAATCATAATCCAGTCCACTGATAAACTCGCATCACGAACATTTTTAGCCACCCAATCAGCAAGAACATTACAACCAAGTGGAGTAAACTCCACAAATATCCAAGGAGCATCATGAAAGAACTGTGATGATACGAGCTAACGTTGCTCGGCAATGCCATGGCCAGAAATCTGGATCATTCTACAAAACCTATGTCAAAACCTGACAATCAGATTTAACACAAGTAGGGCAGTTCTCTTGAGCAGCAAGCATGATAGTGTGAGCAGAGCAAATGCTTCAGCTTGGATTGGACAGGAACAAAGCCGTCATACACCTGACTTTAAGCATTAGCAATAGTAATTCCATAAACCTCCACCTCTGATGCAGAAGGAAAGAACCATCACAGTGCACAAACTTTTGAAAAGCATTAGGCGATGTTAAGCGGGGTGAGCGGGATCCCCTAGGCTGAGGAAGAGTCCTACCTTCTTCGATACAAAGGAAATCACACGTTAAGCCATCATTGCCTCAATGGTTGGAGAAGGAACCTTGGATTCGAAAACAAATCCATTACTGAGCAATCCAAATATTCCGTAAGTAACAGACAATTTTCCTAATGTGATCATCCGTATCTTTTGAGATTGAAGAACCACTCCGCAAAGAAGGACTTGGGAGAAATGAGAGTTGGAAGCTGACCAGAAGACGTCCAAATTATAGTCGCATGCTGGCAATGGAATAAACAGTGCATATAGACTCCTCATGGTTCTCACAGATAGTGTACCCGTCAGCTGCACTTGTTACGCTTTCAAGTTTTTAACTAGTTCATAAAATCTCCGTATTACAAACAACTATGAAAATTGATCTAACAGTAAAATGCCAATTCTTCCCAGGCCTCTAATCCCACCAGGAGCTCGAGATTTGGGAAGCTCTTTCTGATGAGTTCAAGAACCAAAGCTTACTCCTCTGAACAACAAGAAGCCAAGAGGTCAACAGTGACACAGATGCTCCGAAATTCCTATAAGATGTCCAAGAACCAATCTCTCCCACCCTGTCTACTATCTCTTTTTCATGTTACAACCTTGTTACAGCTCGAAACGATAGGGGGGAGAAAAACAACACAGCAAAGGATCTACAGCCTAGATGAACTGTGGAAGGTATTCGAATGTGTAAAAGTCTAAAGAACAAATCAAACAATAGTGAGCAGCAGACACGACCAGGGACGTGAAAATTTACAAGCTATTCTCGTTTCAACATTCAGTATCGGATGACATGACGACGCAGCCACAAATCATACATCACCATGTGGAATGCATCGTACTTGACCGGTGGTGAATTCCACTGGAAGTGCTTCTGTACCTGTACAATTACCAATCACACACCAGCATATTTAGTAGTTGCAGCCCAATGTTGGAAAGATGAGTGGCAAAAAATGGGGAAAAGGCTTTCCTACCTTGGCTACATTCTTATTCAACTCGAGGAACTTCTCATGTGGTATGTCCTTGAGGATCTGCTTCAGCTGATACACGTCTTTCTCTTTCAGTACAACAGCGAATTTGTTCCAGTCAATGATGTCGTTGAATGGCAGGTCATAGTAGTTGGATAATATCACTGATACACGACAAACCGAATTCAGATGATTTCCATATCGTACAAACCAAAATGTAGGGAACACATAGCTGTCTAAATTCATTGGCTACACGATATGTGGAATCATTCAAGAAACTATTTTGCACTCATTTGCTTCCCTAGTTATATTAAAAGATTTGGTGCATGCGAGGTTTCGTGCATGGCTTTCACGCCAAGGTACAAAAGTAAGAGAAATCTTCAGCGACTGATAAATCTAGCTGGTCTTCCCTCTCATAGTTATATGGTTAGTTATGGTGTTCAAAGGGTAAAGTGCCGAAGCTACACCAACATCAATGCAAATGTACTAGGCTTTCAGCAACATATAAGTGGAAAAAGTGGTGTGAAAGCATGAAGACTTACCAGGAACACAACCATAGTGGATTGAGTCTGTTATTCGAGCACTGTTGACCTGCGAACCTCCTGGGCATATGCAAAATTTAGTCTTGTAAAATCTTTTCTGATACACGAGATGTCCTGTGGCCCTACTTATTCTGTTGTTCGAAATATCGAGCTCCGTATCATTTTCCCAAACACGTGCCAGTATAACTCTAATTCTGGAGTTCCTATGGCCAGCCCAGAAGCCAAGAGTAGTCCTGCAAACCATGGTTCTGGTTAGGGAACAATGTCGACACTCACTACGGAGAAATATTTGATTGCATTTCTAGCGTGACTGATTCTTTCATTGAAATAAACATAGGAAATAAGAGGCCAATCCAAATGCTGGTTAAACTTTTTATTTGGGTATGTAAAAGCTCTGTCGGTTAAACGACATCGGATTTGGGATATCTGTACAGAATACCAATAACGGTATACTTCATATGCAAATTTCCAAATCACAGAAGCAGAACTAGCTGATTTCTAAGAGTTACCTGTTCTCAGCATCATTGCCTCCAGCAGGGAGGGCAAATGGCTGCAGAATTTGAGGAAGTGCAACATCTTTGTGTGGAATGAATCCAACGTCATAACTTGGGGAGCAAACTGCTCGAATTGCATTTTTCACAAGAAATGGAACACCTTCAGTTGCTCTTACACCAACATCATGACATGTGACAAAGAAGTGATCTGCGCCGAGAGTCCTGTTCCAGTAAGGATACTTGGCTATCAAGCCGTCCAAATAATTTTGAACAATTATGGTCATGTTTTCATACGAAGTACCCTGCACAACCATCACAAATTGAAACACAATTACCACAGGACAAACTTGACAGGATAAATATCAAATGATAAGGTATAACACCATCACTATAACTGAATGCATCATAACCTGATAAAATACATCACCATGTACCGCGCGAGTCAGATGTTAAGCAAGCAACAATCAAAGGAATGTTTATGGTCAACATGACACTAATACCAAGTGATGCCATCAAATATATAGACTTGTAATTACACCACAAATATCTCAAGTCGAAAACCAAGCCATAGACAATTTAGTGGCTATGAATTGCTCGTTCTTGAAACAAACAGCAGACTGAAAAAAGATAGCAAAATAATTGGCAACATAAACTGGATGGTCACAGTAAAAATTTCTAGATTTAGGTATGTACAAGGAAATCAAGTGTCAGCAGATAAATACACCCATTGTGAATCCTCATCCTCACACAGAGCGTCCAGAACAGGATGCTATTCTGTGAACATAGCATAATTCCATTTACCATTTTGCAGTAGTCACCTAATTCACAAGTCTAACGGTTTGAGGTTAAAATGTTGAAAATCTACATGCAATAAGGATTCGTCCCAAGCTGCAGTGTTCATAGTAAGTCTCCTAACTATCAGAAGTCAGCAAAGAAAATGAATCATAACAACCGTAACAGGTTAACAGCATGACGGAAGTTGGCTTTCATTAGCAACCAATTCTAAACCATGCCTTGACTAACCAAAGCAAGTTTTACGACATAGAAATTAATATGATGAACTAAATCTATTCCAAGAAAGGCAAGGAACATACTACAAAACCACCCTATACAGGAAATGGATTCTTCAGTTATCTTCAACATTCCTAAGATATCATACAACTCATTGAAGTTTCAGCATGATAGCTGAGCAGCTCTGGTGCAGAGAGGTAACATTGATCATTATGAAATTAATGGATTCTTCCCTACATTAGATTGCAAGTTGTGACTAACAGATGCCAATACACTACATCAAGCTCTTCCACTTCAACAAGACAAACAGCAGCAAACCAAGACTAATATGCAAAGCAAAAGAACAGAAAATTGAGCAGAACATCCATTTCGGAGCTGAATTTTCCCGTAAAGAGCTTTCTGCCTACCTTGCCTCGCATCTTATGACATGAAATCGGGATGAAGAAGAGGTGAGCCTGATCCGGATCCTCAGTTCTGAACTTACTCTCTCTAATGTTCTGGAAGAAGTAACCCTCGCTCGCGTACTTCCCCGTCAATTTCCTCGGAGTCTGATAAAACGTTTTCGGATCACCGTCCGGGTAGATATAAACCTTGAAATTCTCCTCCATCGCCGCGTAATTCAACTTGAATACCTCCGGGTAATGGTACAGATCCGTAATCTCGTCGTCGCCATTGCTCCTCCCTACCTCCTCGTCCTCCTTCGCATTTCCGCTCTCTTCTTGGCCCGCCGAAGCCTCCGTCTCTCTTAGCGGCTGAATAATCTGCTTCCCGGAGGCTGAGATTGCGGCGGGAGAGGACTGCGCGGAGGAGGAGAACGAGGAGTGAAGAGAGTTGAGGGAAAGGTAAGTGAGGGAGACGAAGGTTAGGATTGCGAGAGAGAGGAGGGAGCCTCTGAGAGTGAGCATCGATTGCTGCTGAAACTTGCTGGCCGACATCGAAGGGGAGAAGTTGTGCCAAGCCGGATAGGGATCGATGTTGGCGGCGAATTCGCCGGCGCTGGCTGCGGCGTTGGTGGAGTGTGAAGTGAAGCTGCGATCACTGATCAACCAGTGGTGGGATTGCCTCTCGGAAGAGATCCAGGAGATGATGATGTCGTCGTCGTTGCGTGTGATATATTATTGCTCAGGGAATCCAATAACTGGATGGGAAAAAAATGCATAATTAATTAATTAATCTGCCGGGAGCCTGGAGGAGGAAGACGATTTCCCCTTCTTTCTTTTCTTCTCTTTCCCACTCTTTTTTAGAGGTGAATGTCAGTGAATCGTGAAGACAAGAGTAATAGTGGGCCTGTCACATCAATAGCCCACCAAGAGTCAATGTCCGGCCACACTAATGTTAGTATTGTCCAACGAAACGAGTAGATTAGCAAGCCCAAAAGCAGCATCAGGCTCAGACGTAAGAGACCGGTCTTATGCCTCGGGCCCAATGCAATCCTTTCACACGTCTCCCGCCGCCCCTTCCTGGCTCCTACACTTTCCCTCCCTAATCCCTATTCCCGATCCCGCAACCGTCACTGACCACGATCCGCTCAACCTTCTGCTTCCTCCGTGACGCGCCGTCGCAGCCTCCTCCGCCAATCCTTTACGCCGTCGTCGTTTCCCTCTCTCCTCGCCTTTCCCAGGTGAACGCTTTATATATATCGATTTAACCATTTACTGCTGCTTCTCTCGAATTCTAAAATTTGAAGACGCTGTTTCCGGTTGCGAAATGCACAGGCAGAAGATGCGATGGCACCACCCAGGCTCTCCGGAATGCAGAAGCAAGTTCTCAGCCTCTACCGAGGCTTTCTCCGCGCGGCTCGCTTGAAATCTGCCGACGATCGGAAGCAGATCGAAGCCGTCGTCTCCGCAGAGTTCCGGCGCAATTCCAACCAAGTGGATCGGAAGAACTTCGTCTACATCGAGTACTTGCTCAACCGCGGCAAGAAGCAGCTCGATCAGCTCAAGAGCCCCGGCGTCGTCGGCTTATCTTCTTTCAGTGTCGGTGGTGGTCAGCGATAACTGAAATTCAACCATTCCTATTTTCGCATCCCCTACTTCTTGGGTAATTATTAGAGGGTTAAAATAATCTGCAATTTTTGTGTTTCTGTTGTACTCTTACGGCACCATGAAACTTCATTTGTCTGTTCGATATTCAAAGGGAGGAGAAAGATCCCATATCCATATGTAACACTTCTAACCGAATAAACAATCGGATTGACTAGCAAAGTAGCAAACTTTCATGAATTACACACTCCCATTATGTTATACATTATAGATGTGGTTGCAGCATGTAGAGGAATATGCCCCCTGCAACTGCAACGTTGAGGGACTCGAAGTCTCTAGCCATTGGTATGCTCACGAGCTCGCATGCTCTTTGAGATTCCTCCGTAAGGCCTTGTGCCTCGTTGCCTAAAACCAAGCATAGCGGAGTATCAGATAGGGAATCAGCAAGTCCTGGAGATAAACGAGATACCGATCTTGATCCATCAATGATATCAGGGTGGCCGGCTAGCAATCTCATGTCGAATTCATTTATCAGGGCTTGAAGGTGATGCCAGGCGCCAGACACTATAGGAACTTGGAAGGAAGCTCCCCGGCTAGCTCGGAGTGCTTTGCCGTTGAATGGATCACAACACCCAGGAAGCAGGAAAACTCCACCCTGTTTAACAATATAGATGGGGTTTTATGTGAGAGTCAAGAGCTTTGAAATAAGAAAGGGAGAAGCTTTCACACTGCTTACCCATTTGAAAGCCACTGCTGATCTGAGTAATGTGCCTAGATTGCCTGGATCCTGCAGAAAAGAGAAAACAACTCTTGTTGAGTTGGCTACCATGGGTTTACACATTCGGGGCAACCAATAAAGTAGAGGCGAAACTAACTAGATTGTAACCTGGATCCCTTCAAGGACGAGAATTCGATGGGGAGATGGGAACCACTTGCTGCAATCAACAGCTGTTGGGCCATCAACCGCAACAAAGTAGCTGGTTGGGAATCTCATCAAGGCAATAGCTTCAATGGATTCGGTAGATTGCACTTGTGAGAGCTTCTTCATGACCAAAGAGCTCACTCGCAGAGTCCGAGCAGGGGAAGAACTTTCAAGGCCAGCTGGGACATCGACATTATCTAGAAGAAACAGATAATCCACATGGGTGGTCCTTTCCGGCAGGGATTCTTGGAACTTGGAAATCTCCCTGTACACACCTAAAGCGTCATTCAGGACTTACGTCGAACACCATATACGCATAACAAGCAACGGATGAAACAAGCTCCCCATTTGCGGAGATTGGACAAAAGAAGGAAACCCAAGTCCAAATTCATATAGAAGAAATGAAAAGTTCACCTATCGAAGCCAAGAAGATGACAGTACCTGATAGGGGTAGTGCCCACGACGAGAGTCGAGCCATGGGAGTGGCGGTAAGGAGAGCTGCGGCTGAGCTTGACGCAGTGCCTGACAAATGGGTTTGAAGTGCTCGTTATGGATTTGACATGGGCTGGAAGTGTGAAATTCTCCACCGTCGGTGAATCACCGCTGGTGTTAGTACCGCCACCGTCGCCGTCATCTCTATCACGGGCGTAATTTGAATTTCTCTGGACTGTCGCTAGCTTGACCTTCGTAATAGGGAGTTTAAGAGGTGGAGAGGGAGAAACTAGGGGCACCCAAGAGGTGTACGCGCTCTGCATTTTCCCCGCCTTCTTTCTTTGTTCTTCTATTCCTCAACTTTCATAGGTTGACCTTATGGAGCTGGTTTTGTTTATACTTCTCTTCAGCCTCAGTTGTGCTAGGCCTAGTAGCAGATAGATAGTCAGGGGACAGGGGCAACGGTTGTGCGGTTCGGACCGGGCTTTGTTATTCCTTATTCAGTTGTGTTTCGGGCTACTTTTTTCCTTCGTCTACTAACTACTAAGGGGTCGTTTGGATGTCGTTTGGATGGAACATTCGTTTGGGTCGTTTGGATGGAACATTCTCAAAACGAGTCGATTTGAGGTAAATGACTCATTTTATGAAATGAGCCAATTGTGTGAGTTATTTGTCCCAAATTGTCTTGTTTGGCTTGTTATTTAGAATAAAGCAATTGGGATGAGACATCTATTTAAAATACCATTATGCCCTCATTTTCTAAACTTCCATCTCCATCTTCCTCTTTCATGTGAGGCCAAAGAGCCAGAGAGCAACCTCCAGCAAGCCATTCCATAACTTAAGAAACAGGGAGTCCTTAGTTGGTTTATAGACCCGATTAACCCAAACCAAGTTCCGATGTTACGAACAGGACAAGTCTACCCAAATAAAGAAGAAGTGCATGATTTTGGAGCTGAAAATTAACAAAAATTCCAATGATAAAGGCGCTCCAGATTGCACACAAATCGCTCGTTGAGAAACAGAGCAATGCAAACAACCCCACGCGGCCATGCCCAAGGAGATAGCTACCCAATCAAGCAATCAGATCTTTCCCAAAAAAAAAACCCTAACGACAAAGCATCCATAATGAAGCTTTACTAAATCCAGACTCGCCGCCGCGCAAGAGGAAAAAGGATTATTGGGACGAAAAGATTGGTCGCAAGGAGTTGATAAACCCACAAATTACAAATACATGCATAACTCAATCGCATGCCCAATCGAGCAATGAAACCCATGTCCTCTCTTCCTTCTATGGCGTCCGACTTTCCCCTCCATCAGATAGGGTATCGCCATCGAATGGGGTATCTCGCCGCTGCAGATCGACTGCTTGAGAAAGAGAGGATATAGAAGAGAAAGAAGATTTGTTCGCCTGAGTTTACGAGGGAGAGAGAGAGAAAGGAAAGAGAAAAAAAGATTTGTTCTACAGAGAGTTTTTTTTTTTTACAAAGATTACCAACTTTTATTCCACCAAAAATTGAAAGACGAGAAACATGGTTACAAATCTTAAAGAAGATCAGAAATGAGGTCAAGAAAATTAATCCAATCATCGGGGAGAGTATTTCGAGCTTTTGATCGTGCCACCCAATCAGCTCTGACATTAAGTGCTCGGGGTACTTCCTTGATTTTGATGAGAGGGTTTGTCCTAAGGATTGCAACAATCGACCCGATCCATGCTGCACATCTCCATGGCCAACGAGAGCGATCGTATTCCAAGGCTTTCACCAACACCTGACAGTCAGACTGGACCGTACATTCAGATCCATATTCTTGAGCTAATTTCACTCCTTCAAGTAAGGCCTTTGTTTCAGCTTCAATCGGGGTGGAACAAAGAAGATCCTCAGCTCGCCCATCACATACTTGTCCATGGTGGTTAACAACCACAACACCATATGCCGCCGGCTGGGAGTCGCTAATGTACGACCCATCACAGTGAATCACCAAAGAATGATTACTTGGCGGTGGATTTGTATGAGACTGGGAGCCCCTGAGCTGAGTGGGCATGTAAGGCAGGGGAGGAGGGTTCCTCGGGCATGAATTCCATTCAGAAAGCTCTTTATAAGTTAGTTGGCACACCTGCGGAGGCCACGGTTTTCTATTCTTGAATGAGCATTCGTTCCTCGCCTTCCAGATATTCCAGCACAGGAACACAATATGGATCAAGGAGCTATGCTGAACAACATCTTTAAGTGAGTAGAACCAGTCAAGGAACAGGGTTCCCTGAGGGGCAAGGGGGAGAGACGGAAACAGGGCATTCCATGCCGCCTTGGCATGAGGGCATTGGAACAGACAGTGATTGATGGATTCGATGGGGTTCTGGCACACCTGACACATAGAGTCGGGAGCGCATTTCCTCTGGAGCAGTCTCTCTTTCGTAGCAAGCCCATTCCTAGAGCACCTCCAAACAAATAATTTCAGCTTCGGGGGGAGATGGAGGCTCCACATCCACTTCCATTTTTCAGTGATCCCGCTAGGTTGTGCATTGGTAGTGGCTCTATGAATCGAATGATACGCAGATTTCACTGTGAACTTTCCATCATTGTTGTAGTTCCAAGCCCAAAAATCATTGGCTCCTTCATCCCCAATGGGGATCCTGAGGATAGCATCGAGTTCAGAGCCTGACACATTCCTCTGTATAACATCCGACTTCCAACTCCTATCTCCCGGATCAATCCACTCGCTGACCTTCTGATGATTCTGGGGGCCGCTCCTCAGAGTATTATTTTCCAGAAAGAGAATCCAAGGGTCTTGATCAACCCACGTGTCTTCACCTGATCCAATCACTCTAACTGCACCCATCCCAATCACCTTTTTAGCCTCCCAGATACTGGCCCAGATCCACGAAGCTTTGCTTCCCTTTTTCGCATTAAGGAACTCACTTCTTGGGAAGTACAGCCCTTTACGGAGACGGCTCCATAAAGAGTCAGGGGTCGTAAGGAGGCGCCAAGCCTGCTTAGCAAGCAGGGCAAGGTTAAAATCGTTGAAGCTCCTGAATCCTAACCCTCCTTCTGCCTTCGGAAGACACAGAATCTCCTTTTTACACCAATGGAGACTACTCTTCTGCATAGATCCTGACCAAAAGAAGTTACTGAGAAGAGAGTCCATTCTCTTTGTGAGAGCCTTCGGGAGATGGAACAGGCACATGATGTAAGAAGGAATAGCTTGTATGACAGCTTTCAGAAGAACTTCTTTACCACCATGAGAAAGTAGGAGGCTTTTCCACGCCTCCCCCATCTTTTCCATCCTTTGAATGAGAAAACTAAAAGTTTCTTTTTTCGAGTTTCCCCATTCGGTCGGCAATCCAAGGTACTTTGAGTGGCAGTTCGATGGAGCAAAACCAATGCTTGCGATGATATGATCTTTGACGTCCCCAGGGACATTTGCACTGAAGAAAACCGAATATTTGTTGATATTAACCTCTTGCCCTGTTATAGCTCCATAATCCCCAATAAGATCTATACTTTTCTGCGCTTCCTGGTACTCGGCCTTTCCGAAAATGACTGTGTCATCAGCAAACAGGCAATGAGTGAGCACAGGGCATCTGGCATTCAATTTAATCCCTTTCAGGCTTTCATTCGCCACCGCCTTATCAATCAAGAAAGTGAGGGCATTTGACATGAGAATGAAAAGGAATGGTGAGAGTGGGTCTCCTTGTCTTATTCTTCGGGAAGGCGTGAAAGATTCAGTTGCTTCTCCATTGAAAAGAATAGAGAAACTGACTGTTCTAATGCAAGCACTGACCCAACTACACCAACGACTGTCAAAACCATACTTCTTGAGAAGCTCCTCCAGACACTCCCAATCAACCATATCATATGCCTTCTTCATATCTAACTTCAGCATCATATCTCTCCTCCTACCCAATTTATGATTCTTGAAATGATGAAGGGCTTCATGGACAATGATGATATTATCTTGAATAAGCCTACCCCCCGTGAAAGCTGTTTGAAGTTCTGAAACCAGATCGGGGGTCCACCTCTTAAGGCGAGTTGCCATAATTTTAGATATGATCTTATATCTGAAATTACAGCAGCTGATCGGCCGGAATTGGCTTATCAGCTCTGGGTTGTCTACTTTGGGAATCATAGCGATGTGGGTCTCATTCCACCCAGTTGGCATAGTGGCCGTTTCGAAGAAGCCTCTAACTTCTCGACACAAGGTATCTCCTAAGATATCCCAGTACCTCCTATAAAATCTTCCAGAGAAACCATCAGGACCAGGAGCCTTACGAGCTCCCAAGGAAAAAACAGCTTTCCTAATTTCCCCATCTGTCACCGTAGCACAGAGATCCTCGTTCATCTCCGAGGTCACTTTCTCCGGGAAGCCATCCAAAAGATGGTTAAAAGGAAGAGAGTCCCTAGCCTTAAAAAGATCTTTGTAAAATTCTTCGGCTAGTCTTTTGAGACAACTTTCATCCTCAATCCAATTTCCTTCTCCGTCTTGGAGTTTCAGAATTTTGTTTCTATGCTTCCTATGAATAGTACTAGAGTGAAAGAAGGAAGTATTTTGATCACCTTTTTTAAGCCAGTTAACTCTCGAGCATTGGCTCCAGAAAGCTTCTTCATCCCTCCAAAGCTTTGTCAATTCGGTAATGAGTCCCTTCTCCTCTTCCACGCTCTCCTCCGATCTTGGCGGCTGTTGGAGAGTTTCGAGCCTAGACAGAATTTCCTTCTCCCTTCGAATACTGTTTATATGGAAGTCTTTCGTCCATTCCTTTAAATCTCTTTCACATTTGTTCAGCTGGTCAGTTGACTGGCCTCCCGGGTCCCAAGCTCGGGCCACAATTTCCTTGCATTCTTCTTTTTCCAGCCATCTTTCATCGATCCTGAAAGGTGTCTTCTTTCTCCTGTTTCCTCGATAATGAAGATCAAGTCTGATCGGGCAGTGATCCGACTCCACCATCTTCTCATGGAAGACCACTACTTCTCCAAATTGGGCAAGCCAGGACGTTGAGCAGAGAACACGATCCAACCTCACTCTTGTCAGGTTTTGGCCCATTCTCTTGTTAGTCCAAGTGAAAGGTTCCCCTTTGTACCCAAGGTCAATTAGAGCATTCTGGAATATGAACCTCTTAAAAGGTTCAACATTCTCGTACCTAAGAGGGCATCTCCCTTCCTTTTCATTCTCATAAATTGCCGCATTGAAATCCCCAACTACAACCCAGTTATCATCCCTACTACTCCGAAGAGAGCTCAGGTGCTCCCAAAAATCCCTTATACTAACAGCTGTAGAGGGTGCATGGACAAAAGTACAGAAAAATTTTCTACCCATATCTATACTAACATCCATGTAGTAGCTATCACTACTTAAAACCGTAATATTAATACCCGCTTTCCACCACAAAGCAAACCCCCTAGAAGAGTTAACCGGTTCAACATACTCTCTATTGGGGAAAATTTTGAGATTTCTTCTTTGTTCTTCCATGAAACTCTCGTTCTTGCTAGTTTCCATAAGAAAAACAATAGAAGGGCCTAAACGTCTACATAGACGCTTAGCATAGCTTCTTGTAAGGGGAGGGCCAAACCCCCTACAATTCCAACTTACTATACTCATTTTGGCTGAGGTGGCTTTTGGCGAACCACCGCTGCCCTTGCTCCTTCTTCCAGATTCTCCACCACTTCCTCTGAATTTCTCCCCCTTTGCACAACTTTCTTTCCTTTGTGACCTTTCTTTTTCCTGATCTCACCTTCTTTACCTCCCATGTAGATTGCCCCATCCGAAATAAAAGAGCCTGAGTCATCAGGCCTGCTGGTCCCTTTCCTCTTTTTCCTGGCCCGGCCCATTTCTTCCTCCAAGCCTTCCTCTACATGCTGATACAAGCCCACCTCCTCCAAGTACAGATTTCCCTGGGCCTGGGCATTACTTCCCTGAATCACAGGCCCAAGGGAGAGAGTGGTTTGGACTTCTCTCCCCTGGCCCAGCTCGGCAGCTCTCCCCTGAATCACAGGCCCACTCCTAGCCTGTCCTCCATCTCCCAGCCCATATCCCCCGACCCGGCCTCCTCCTCCCAGCCCGATTTCCGAGCCCAAACCGCCTCCCCTGACCCGGCCTCCTCTTCCCAGCCCTAGTTCCGAGCCCAGCCCGACTCCCCTGCCTTGACCTCCGTCTCCGACCATTCCGCCGCCTTCCTCCAGATTCAGACCCCATTCCAATTCCTCTGCTGCCCTCTCCAAATCAATGGAGATATCTCTTGCTCTCATCCCTTCCCTGTATCTCCCCCTCTGTCTGCCCATCATCCCCTGCTCCTCCCTGTCGATCTGCCCTTCTCCCAGTCTTTGAACCGTGAACCCAGGGGATATTTGCTGATTCCCCCCCTCTGATTCCCTCGTCGGCGCCGCCGAATCGCCCTCCACTCTGCCACTCCTCCGCTGCATCATGCTTCCTTCGCCCCTATTCCTCGATTGCGCTTCGGAGCTTCTATGAGGCGAGTCAACTCCCGCCTTCAGAGACGCTGTGTAAACGTCGGACAGGTATGCCACTCCACTTCTTTTCCTTTCTTCATTCATTCTTCTACAAGTAGGCCAGTTATGCCCAATCCTGCCACAGAAGTAACACAACTCCACCAATCTCTCATACTTAAAATCAATTACATCGCAGTGCTCCACTCCTGAGGGTTCATCAAGAAACGGGAATTCGAAGCCTGTTGGGATGGGTTCCCTGATATCCACTTCAACCAGGATGCGGAGAAATCTCCTGTAGCCAGTGTACTCCAGGCTAGCTCTGTCAAGATCCAGCAGCTCCAGGAAATAGCTTGACCCGATAGCCATCATGTTCTCCTCACTCCTTTGGTTTTGGTGCAAGCCATGTATCTGCACCCACATAGCCATCTTCTCTATCGGGACGTCTTCTGGCCTTCCCCTTCCATTATACCTCTCAATCGCCGTCAAAGTGTTGGACAAACTCCATGGCCTGTCCCTCCAAATCCTGTCCCTGATCTCCACACTGTTGGAAGTAAACAGGAATAGGTTTTGGGTTTCGGTCGGTTGGATGTTGACCTCTCCATAGCTACCCCACGCGTATCGAGCTGCTCCTGCTGCCTTTGCCATCGCTACCCTGCTTTCTGTCAGCATCTTCCCCAGCAACATGGACATCCCTCTTCCACCAGTCGAGGACAGAACAAGGCGCCCTCCTCTGCCCCTAGATGGCGCAGGGATCATGCTTCCTCTCCTCTGGCTGCTGGTAAGCTTCGTTGTTGATGGATTCCATTGGTGTATGAAGTTTTTTGGTTAGAGAAACAGGGTGTGATTTCGGTAACAGCAAGAAACAGGGTGTATGAGGTTTTTTGGTCAGAGAAACAAGGTGGGATTTCGGTAGCAGCAAGAAACAGGGTGTATGGAGTTTTTTGGTTAGAGAAACAGGGTGTGATTTTGGTAACAGCACGAAGCAGAGATGGGGTACAGTGGATTGGGGGATGAGTTTGTGAGCACAGCCTATTCTTCCCCTTCTCCTCCTCCCTTTAAAGTTTTTACTCCTGCTGGTAGTCTCTCTTTCCTCTTGAATGAGGTAGGTTTCTTTCATATCAATCCCTTCATTATTCTTCTGGAGACTAAGCAAGTCTTTCCCCTGTTTTTCCTCTGCCAGCCCCGTGGCTCTTGGCTCAATGTTGCCCCCATTTTGCTCGAGGTGGATGGTGTAGTCACAGTACAGAGATTTTGTAGTTGATGTTGCCCTTCTCCCTATACTTCTCCTTCCTCTGAGATGGCTGGTGGATCCTTTATTGCCGTCATCTGGAGGTTTCCACACCTCCCTCTTCTTTATACCATCTCTGCTAGCTTCTTCTTTTTGTCTAATCAGTGTGGGAATCTTCCCTGCCCCTGGATATGTGTTTCTACTGTCATGTTTATGGTAAGCAGGTGTGTGGGAGAGAAGATTGGTGGGTGAATTGATCACCAGGAAGGTCTCTGCAAGAGCTGGAGCAGTCCCAGCAAAGGGGACGGAAAAAGAACCGTTGTTTGGTTCAGAGGACGTTACCGTTAGAGAGAGAGAGGAGAGAGACATAATTTCTTCCTTGTCAGACAAGTTAATTGGTCTGGCCAGTGGAAGGAGCCAAAGCTGTTCTACAGAGAGTTGGAGAGAGGAAAAGGAAGGTTAAAGTTGGAAAAAGGAGAAGGGAGAACACGTCTTTTCCAATAACCTGCCCCCCAACCAGGTAATGTACATTCACCCGAAACGAAACAATTCAGATTCACCCCGCCCAAATTGATTCGTTCTACTTTTTCACTGCCAAACGCAGCAATTTTACTCAATTGACTCAAAATGAGTCAATTGAGTCAAATTGCTCCATTCAAAAGACTCATCCAAACGACCCCTAAGTGCAAAGTAATCATAACTAGGGTTGTTATGTTAATGAAACAAAACGATCCGAGAAATACTCGTTTCATATTTGACTCATCTTTAATTGAGTCGATTTACGAATAAGCTCGTATATAAAAGAGTCGAGCTCGAGTCATGACATGTTCAGCTTGATAAGCTCGCGAACAAATTCGAAAGCTTTTAAGTGTTTTTTGTTGGTGTCTTGTGAGCCGAGTTCGAGTTCGAAGTACAATCGACATTTCATCCGTTGAGCTCGATTTTCACTCGTTGATCTCATTTAGCAAGCTCAAACTTCTATTATTGTAAACAAGCCGAGCTCCAACTTCCCTGTTAAAATAAGGGTGGAACTCAAACTGAGCTCGAATTTGCAATTATTTTAACGAGCCAAACCTAAACCATGACAAAAGTCGGCTCCACTCAGATCATAAACAGCCGTAATCATAACATTGCTACTTGCCTTAGATGATCATCTTAAGGGATTTGGTGTATGAACATTCATTATGTTCGACTATACATATTTTCCAGGAATTTCCCAGAGTTCTTCTGTCTTCCTTGCTTGGTGACAATACATAAACTTTAACACCCTGAAATCCATATATTCTACAAGTTCCATGCCAAGAGGACAATAATTCATCAAATAACTTTCAAGGCATGTAATAGAATCAATTAATCAACCATTATACATTTTATCAGAATGTCACATGTACACTGAACAGACAATTAAATAGTTCAACCACTACTGCCCTTTAACCATATGATACAACACATCAAGGGAGTAAGCAAACCAATAGAACAAAATACATATGGGAATCATAGAAACCAATTCATTGCATTTATTAGGCAGTTGAATGCCAAGCAAGGTTACCAGACGACTACCAGATTCAGTACATCCAAGACAAGTCTTGCCTGAAAGAGACAGTTTTCGCAGCACCATGAACGGCCCTCTCGGAAATCTGAGGGCAATCTTCCACAGCCAACAGTTCCAGCTTGTACGACCCAACAAGAGGCTCCAGTCCATCATTCGTAATCCCCAAACACTTCTTCAAACGCAGCGTCTTTAGACCGGGAAACTGGGCCACGAGCTGCAGCCCTTCGTCGGTGACCTCGTGGCATCCAACTAGCTCCAAAGCTTCAAGCGACTGTGCCAAACAAAGCCCTTCCATCCCAGCATCATTAAAGCAGTGGACATGGTCAAGAGCAAGCTCCCGGATAGGGCACATCTGAATCAAAATCAGGATACCTTCCAAGGTGAACGATGAGAACGAAGGAAACTCTCCATCAGAAAAACATATCCGTATCGACTCCAGCAATCGACAGTGCTCTGCAACGGCCTTCAAGCTCTCGTCCGTTAATCTCAACGGATTTCCCATCAGAAGTGGCAATGAGAAATCCGAAGGAACTCGAAGTGAGAGTGAATGGAGATTACTGGAGTTCTTTGCTAGGGTTATGATATCTGAATCTCTTACACCAACACACATGTCCAAATGAATCTTCTCCAAGTTCTTGCATTTACCTAGAACACAAGCTAGTCCTCTCCCTGGGCTGATTATGCAACTCACCAAGCTAAGCTCTAGCATTGATTCACAAGGCACAGCTTGCTTCTGCCACTGATCAACAGCTAACCTGTCATAAACCTTCATGTACCTGTAATTGGCATCCACTTCAAACTGCAACTTTTTCAGTTTTCTCCAGCTAGCTCCGAGCTTCATCAAATCACCCTCTCCAATAGCCCTACAGTTCTTAATAGAGAGCTCTTCGAGCGACTCGAGCCTTCCTAGGTATTCCAACCACTCAACACTGGTTACATTGAGACACCGAATGAGGCAGAGAATGGTGAGATTCTTGCAACCTACTACAAGAGATAAGACACCACAACCAGTGATCCTCGGTGTGAAGTTCAGTTTTAAAGCAGAAAGCTTGGAGCATGTAGCTAAACTACGAAGACCAACATCGGTGATAAACGTGCAGTAACTTAAGGTGAGGTCGGTCAATAAAGGGCAATTGTTAGCCAGAATCGCAAGCCCTTGATCATCTAACTGCTTCCCTAGCTTGGACATCCAACCAGAATATGTAATTTCCACTTTTTGCAAATTGGGGAACCTGTTGCAGAGTGAAGTCAGGGCTTCATTCGCGGGATCTAACCCACAACCAACTCGAAGAGACTGCCTCTGTTCATTGTCCAGATCGTAGAGCCGCTTACATGACAAGGAGATAGAGTTTCTGTGTACAGTTTTCTTGATTCTGCTCAAAATCTCCCATACTAACTGGTCCGGCAAATAATCCATTGAAAATCCTTCTACCCTTACCAATTCAAATACACCTAGAAGTGAACAACAAAATCAGAAAGGGGTTATAAGACGGCCAGAAAAACAAGAGAAGACTTCTTAATCAAACTGGGAAATTTGGATCATGCCGATCAGTACTATTCACGAAGCGACCAAATTGAACCAGCAGAAGGGTAAAGGGACGGTGGGGTAAGAACAAACCTCAAATTTCTGACCTTTAGGGGTTGACGATCTTCATCGGTAGGTTTGGAATTCGGATCGATCGAGGAATTGCGGCTGCCTCATTCTCGATCGGAAACAATGATTGGAAATGGTTCGATTCGGTGAGAGAGACGGATCGATAATTTCGTGCCACCATGGAACATGGGACGGGAATTATTTCACATGAACAGACCTTTGGCTAAAAGGCAGCCATTGGAGGAAACTAGGGAAGCAAAGCAATCGATTTCGGAGGGAAATTGCTAAAGGTGGCCCTAAAAAGAATAAAAGTTACACTTTTAACCCCATAGCTTCTTTACCTTCCTTTCCTCAAACAAACATCACTTGGACTAAAAAAAACACTCTCTAAGGAGAGAAAAATCTCTCATCGTCATTTTGAAGCCGATATCGTCGGTAGGACGTCTGAATCATGAGTAGCGACTCCGACGAGGTAAAAACATGAACCGAAAAAAAAAAACACAGAAAATGGGAACCGCGGGTGATTTGCGGTCCGACCATGGTCCAACCGCGGGTGACCTGCGATTGGACCATGGCCGGACCGCAAATCACCTGCGGTCCACCAATGGCTCAACCGCAGGTGATTTGCGGTCCAACCATGGTCCAACCGCAGGTCACTTGCGGTTGGGCATTTTTTGGGTTTTTTTTTTCGTTGAATAATTTTCTATTTTTTATATGATTTATGATTGTTCCATGAAATAATTTGTTGGGTTTTGATTTATATAATTTATTAGATTTATTTGCATAATTATTTTTGGAATTGAAGGATTTAGCATTAGAAATTAAGATTAGATTTTTGGAATTGAAGGATTTAGCATTAGAAATTAAGATTAGATTTTTGGAATTGAAGGATTTAGCATTAGAATTTAAGATTAGATTTGGCCTTAAATTAAGATTAGATTTAATTTGGTGTTAATCTAGAAAATTAAGATTAGATTTTGCATTACAAATTAAGATTAAATTTATTGCATAAATAATAGATTCGCATATGAAGTTATGATGATTATTAAATTTTATTTTATATAATTTTTTAGATTTATTTGCATAATTATTTTTGGAATTGAAGGATTTAGCATTAGAAATTAGGATTAGATTTGGCCTTAAATTAAGATTAGATTTAATTTGGTGTTAATCTAAAAAATTAAGATTAGATTTTGCATTACAAATTAAGATTAAATTTATTGCATAAATAATAGATTCGCATATGAAGTTATGATGATTATTAAATTTAATACTGATAACATTGCAGGATATTGGAAGTTACAATCCGGATGGCCATGATTACACCTCGGATTTCATTGATGGCGTGAAATACACTACGGAGTTGCAAGCATATGAAGCAGCCATTGAGATTGCAAAGGGTTTTGGGTTTTATTTGGTGAGGGCATCGAACAAAAAAAATACGAATGAAGGTACTTGGCGACATTACTTACATTGCACTCATGGTAGGAAGAAGAAGTCGAAGGAACCTGATCCGAGTAAGGAAACGAGGCCTCTTACATCTACTGAAAAGTTGGGGTGCAAGTTTCAGATCAAGCTTGAGCGGTCAGGTGATGGATATTGGTTGATCCTAGGGGTGGCAAATACAAAGAATCCTGGTGCTAATTTGGGTTTCCACAATCATCAGTTGGAGCTATTTCCGGAGGGATCAAAGGGAAGGAATGTTTTGACTACAGAGGACAAGCAATACATCATAGAGCTGAGATCAGCCGGTGTCCCACCAAGGAATATCCACAAGGCAGTGAATGACAGAAAAGGTGCAAATGGAACACACAACAGAAAGCAGATTTATAACGAGTGTCACAAGATAAGGAAAGAAGAGCTTGGTCAGATGACAGCCTTACAGTATACTTTCCGCATGGCGCGGGAGAAGGGTTACTATGTGCAGTATATGGACGATCGTAACGTGCTTACACACTTGTTCCTAGCCCACCCCGAGTCAATATTGATGTTGCGAGCTTGGCACCATGTGATCGTGATAGATGCAACATACAAGACCAATAAGTATGATATGCCTTGGGTTGAGATTGTCGGCATGACACCAGTGGGATTGAACTTTGTCATTGCATCTGCAATAGTGTACGACGAGACGAAGGAGTCGTACCAGTGGCTTCTGACGCATTTGCAACATCTTCTTGGCCCCATTGTTCCAGATGTGTTTGTCAGTGACAAGGCAGGAGGATTGGTTGAGACCGTGGGGGTAATGTTTCCATCATCGACTCATATATTATGTCTTTGGCATATGGATAGGAATGTGAGAGCAAAGTGTCTAACGGAGGTGCGAAGGACGACTCATTGTGGTATAGATGCAGCCAAACCGACAGTGGATCATATCATGGCGTCTTGGCAACGTGCTGTATATGCATTGACAGTGGAAGACATGGATACTGCCTTAGAGAATTTCAGACGTAGTTGGGTAGTACAGTACCGACGTCTTTGGGGGTATATGACAGCTGAGTGGTTACCAGTTAGACACATGTGGGCTAAATGTTATACCAATCAACTGCGGCATTTGGGTAACACAAGCTCTAATAGGGTTGAAGCTGCCCATTCCTCCTTCAAGAAGTGGCTTCAATCATCTACTGGCGCAGTCGACACGGTTAGTAATCTAATAAATCTTCATTGATACACACATAAGTTTTAGTAGTCTCCTAATTGTTCTTCATTGTTTGTAGGTATACAAGAAGAACGATGATTACATTGAGGCTCAACACCTTCAAATCAGGAAGCTGCTAGAGGATTCCCGACAAAAGAAGCTGCTCCGAGCGGATGGAAAACCATTTCGAGAGTTGAATACGAAAGTCACTCTAGAAGCTCTGAGGTTGATGTTGTTCGAGGTAGCAGTGGAAGGGGAACCTTGTACATGTACGTTTCCTCCTACCTATGGTCTCCCATGTAGATGTTCCATTCAGTTAGCACGACGTGAAAATCGGGATTTCGCCTTGTATGATGTGTTGCCATTCTGGACCGTTATCAACTATCGTGAACCTCCTACTCGGCCGGAGTGGGATGACCATAGTGATTACCACCGTGGTGTGTTCCAAGGTCTAGTACAGGAGGTTCTTGATAGAGGCGACGAGACCATTCGAGGTGCAATCGGCCTACTCCGGAGCCATCTTCATCCTGAAAATGATGGCATTGATGAACCGCATGGGGGACAGCCCCGCCCCGGTCGCCCAAGGACGTCCACCACTCGAAACCTGCCTCACTTCGAGCATGTGGAGAGGAGACGAGGGAGGAGAAGTTCAAGACTTCCGACTGCAACTCCGGACAATGATGGAAATACAGGTAGATTAACTTTTTCTTTTAGTTGTGTTCAATTGTCCTCAATATGGTGTACAACTAATCTATTTTTTTTAAATGAGATAGGTGGTGCCCCGAATGTGAATGCACAAACCAACTTCGAGGATGAGACGGAGTCGATCCATAATGATACAGGTTAGAAATTATATTCCTAATTTCGGGTAAACATATAGTGTAACTCTTTGTATTAATTTATTCTATTATGTTCTTCATCTAGATGGTGCACCGAATGGGAATGCACAAACCAACTTCGAGAATGGGACGGAGCCGGTGATCCATAATGATACAGGTTAGAAATTATATTCCTAATTTCGGGTAAACATATTGTATAACTCATTGTATTAATTTATTGTGTTATGCTCTTTGGCTAGATGGTGCCCCGTGGAGGGTTGCTCGGATTCCCAATACTAGTTGGAAGAATTACCCATGGCTACATTGTTTGGAATCCTACGTGCAATGACTAGTTCGTGGTTGGTTCAACCCTATTCCAGATGGACACTGTGAATTTCGACCGCGAGTTGACCGTCGGATCGACCGCGAGTTGACCGCGGTTAACGCGCTCTAACAATTCGTTACCTTCCCGGCGGCGGCGACTGGCGGGTGCGGCGACTGGCGGGACTGGCTGCCGAGATCTGTGGCGAGTGGCGGGCGGCGGCAACTGGCTGGACTGGCGGCGATTGGCGGGGGAGATCGGCTGCGGCAAGATAGGTCGGCCGTCGGTCGCGGTGAGAGGAGGGTCGGCCGTCGGTCGCGGGTGGAGGAGGCGTCGGCCGGTGAGAGGAGGGTCGGTCGGTGAGAGGAGAGTCGCGGTCGGCGTCGGCGGAATTGACGGCAAGGTGAGAGGAGGTCGGCCGGTGAGAGGAGAGTCGCGGGTGAGAGGAGGGTCGCGGGTGAGGAGATTTTTTTTTTTTTTTTTGAAAGGGCGGCTGAGAGAGTTGAGGGGGGAGGGACTTGAATTTGAATTGCTAAGGGCTTGTTTGTTTAAGCCCATTTTGAGTTTTTGTTTAAGGGTATGTGAGTAATTTTACATTTAAGTTAGGGCGATGTTTAGCAATTCTTAGGGCGACATTTAGCGATTCAGAACAAATATGCCATAGGGAAGGAATCGGTTTCATCGACGACCGGCGTAAATAACACTCCCTACTTTTCCCCTTTTTACGCAATTTTCCATTTTTGGGTATTAAATGGTAATTCTTTAGTATTACCGGCGGCCACCGATATTCCGGTAGTAATCGGCCTGCAGGTCACCGACGGCATTTATGGTATTGGTCATTGGACCCTCCTAGGCTGGAAGTTTGGTACCGATATTTGGAATATACCGAATATCATATCGAATTTGTCTATATTATAGAATACACGTATTATTTTTTGGGATTGGTATTGAATTTCAATTGTAATTCGGTATTAGGAATTACAGGATCGGGATCAGTATCAGTATATACTCCGATCAATACCGAAATCTATTGATAAAAGTCGTCCTT